CGTGCGCTAACACAACGCCCCGGACTCAGTCGAAAATTCCAAAAACCATCATAAATTCGTGATATGATCATGAAAAAATCTTAAAAAGCTTCTTTTTGAAAACCTTCAGACTGTCAATATTTCTCACTTCTAAATTTAAAGAGTTCCAGTCTTTAGAACAATGAGGAACTGTTCTAAACAAACCCCAGTTGGTCCTAACACCTTCAAAACTAAGATTGTCCTTATATCTTGTGTTATAAGAATGGATTTGTGATAATGAATAAAAGCCAAAGTCATGGTTAATTAAGTGATTTAAACATTTATAAACAAAAATACAGCGGTCTATTGTTCTTTTCTTGGCCAGTGGAATCCAGTTTAACACTGTCAAGGCTTGAGTCGAGGATGAATGCAGATCTCTTCCAAGGATYGTCTTTGCTSCCCTGTTTTGAAGTACTTGTAGGAGTTMCATCTGTACAGAGTTCCTTTTGTCTCCCCAAACAATACTGTTGTATTCAAAGATGGGCTTGATCATAGTGTTGTAGTAGGTTATTCTGGCAGATAGTGGTAGTAGAAACTTGATTCGGTTCAGAACAGCAATTCGTTTGCGTATCTTAGATGCAATGCTGAAAATGTGATCGTCCCATGTTAAACGATCATTAAGAGTAACACCCAGATACTTGAAGCTGTCARCACGCTCAAGGTCCTCTCCACAGATTGTTAGAGACATGGTAGAAAAAGGACCAGTTCTTACAGAATGACCAAAAAGCATAAGCTTAGACTTGGATGCATTGACTGTTAATTTGTTTCTGTCAAACCAAAGAGCCAGACTGCGAAGATCATCGTTCATTTTTTTCTGCATTTCCTGAGGTGTACTTTCGGAACAATAGATAACAGAGTCGTCAGCATATAATGTTACTTTGCAGTGTTTTAACGACTGTGGTAGATCATTTACATATATAATGAACAGGAGAGGGCCCAGGATTGAGCCTTGCGGAACTCCGACTGTAACGGGAAGAGCCTCAGACATGGTATTACCAACTTTAGTAACTTGAGATCTCTGAGTTAAGTATGAACTAAAGCAGTTGAGATCGGCTTCCAAAACTCCGAAGGACTGTAATTTCGTGCGAAGAATGGTGTAATCTACGGTGTCAAATGCCTTCGAAGAATCAAGAAAAGCTGCTCCAGTTACTTTTCCCTTTTCCATACCGGTGAGTATGTTATCACAGAATTCAGAAAGGGCTATGTTGGTCAATAATCTTGGGCGAAAACCAAATTGATTCTGAGACAGCAGGTTGTTTGATGATAGATATGAGTATAACTGTTCAAAAACTGCACGTTCAAGTATTTTGCTGATGGTTGGTAGGACAGAGATAGGATGGCAGCACCTCCTTTAAAGAGAGCTGAGACCTTGGCAGATTTCCATAATTTAGGAAATACACCGTCACTAATGGACTTGTTGATCAGTGATGTTAATACAGGTGAGATGACAGGACTGCCATCCTTCAACAGACACATGTATCTTGTCACTTTCTTTACAATTACATGTTTAACAAACCTGTATTTAATCGAAAGCATGTATTTAAGTACACGTTCCAAACGCCATTACATGTATAATACTTGTATAATACATGTATACTACACGTATTTTTGACCGGTATTTTACCCCATAGTTTTCGCCGCCATCTTGAAAATATTGGAACGAGAGAGACTGTGGATGAGTATTTTGGTTCCCAAAGCATGCTGGGTCCATGTTTTTGGGACCCATATGTCCTTTCGGTCATTGTACCGTTACAGTCTCTAAGCGTGGAGACGGAACGGACGAGCGAGAGACTGTGGAAAAGTCTACTTCATGACCTGTAATTGAAATTTGTGTCAGTCATTTCGATGTGATATAACAAATACGAGTGACAACTTTAATGTACTATACACTTAGGCAATCTTATTTAAGCAGTTGTCATATGTTCCCTAAGTGGATGGAAAAATTGGGAATGTTCAGTGTTCTAAGGAATTCCAGTAAACTCTACCCTTAAAAGCCACATGATGGCTCAAATAGGCAATTATTAGGACTAATTCAAAAGGCAATCTTATAAAAGCTTTTTGCTAAAGTTGCACTAAGTTGATATGTAGATAAGGAAAATAAACAGAGAAAAGTAAGAAACAAGAGTAAGTAGAACTAGACTAAAATGCCAAAGGTTGGATATTTTGTTGGTAACAACCAACGTTTTTTCAACGTAAGATACATAAACATAAGTTACATCAATTAATTACCTTTTTATTTCTTAATCTTTCTGCTACATCTTCTTCTACATATCTTTTATTATGAAGAAATTCACAAAAGTCTACAACTTCATTGCGATGTCCTCGACGTGAGTCGTAGTGACCCTGGGGACCTCGTAAACCAGTTGCTCTGTTAGATTCTTGAAGTTGACATTTGTCATGACTTTGCCATTGAAATCACCCAACTGACCTTTTCCCATAGAGTAACTCTTCTTCTGGTGCCAGTGGCTGAGCTTTGTTCAGACCTTTCCCTTCCCTTTTTCACACAGAGAAATTGCCTTCACGTTGAGGAATTCCTTGTGAGTTTTGAAACTCCCTCGCTCGTACGATGCTCAGTGGATAACCTTTGTCCTTCAAATAGCGTTCAATTGGTCTTTGCATTACTCTGAGGGATTCTGGTTCGTAGTCTTCTCCGTCCCTTTTCTTTACCTCAGCATAAAACGTAACGAGGACCTTCTGGTGCCATTTTTCGATTTTTTTCTTAAATGGCGGAATGTGCACCAGTTTTCAAACACGTTCACTGTTTTTCGAGTGTTTTTATACAACAGACTTCAGTTCTTCTATGTCCTTGCTTGAAAAACAAAAAAAAAAAACAAAAAAAAAACAAAACAAAAACAAAACACAACAACAAACAAAAAAATATAATGAAACAACCAGGAAATCTTGATACACCTACTTTAGGGTTTGGGTCTTGAATTGTTGCTGTTTGTTTATTTGTTTTGGTTTTGCTGGACTCGGAAGCATGCAGATCACCTTTAGCACAATTTGAAACGACATCAGTGACATTTTGGTTTAAAATTCGTCAGGTAACTTAAACATGCTGCTTCCCTGCCATGCAAGCAAAAAGCACAGAAAAACTCGACATTTTAAAGCTTTATAGTTCCAGGAAGGCATTTGGATTTGAAGCTAAGTTATGATTGCCTTTTTACTTCACAGCAGAAAGGATGTTTTTAAAAATTTGGTACGAAATAAGATGATTTTTTATATTGAAAACTTCAAAGTAAAAGACTTTTATGATGAAAGTGTTTAGCGACCAAAAATAGATTTTCAAAACTATAATAACACGCCTAGATAATAATAAATCTTAAATTTTCTATTTCATATGTATTTCTTGTTTGTTTTTATTCAATTTTTAAAAGGATTAAATCTAAAAAAAAACGGTAATAAGCTTTATTATTGAAAGGATTTGTTCTGCCATTTGTTCAAAACATGTGCCCCTATGATTCTTTGTCAACATTACTTGAATCTTAGCAACATCTCTTTAACAAGCCTGCTTTAACTTTTATTAAAAATAAACGCTTTGTTTCGTGCAATTCGAGTAATAAATTTTGAATTTCCCTCGAATGTAGATGCGCAGTACGTGTGTGCATGGACAATAAATATATAGGGGCGTCGTGACCGTATTTAAGAGTATCCTTTTTGCAAACGACCGTATTTAAAAGTATCCTTGATCATATTTAAGAGTATCTTTTTTTCAAATGGCCATATTTAAGAGTATCCTTTTTTTCAAGTGATTACTGCGTCACTACCGTCTGTACGTACGTCCGTGTACACAACACAGGAATCCCGCTTGATGCCAAAGCAAAACTACTCGCAAACCCGGCTCTCAAATGCACAGAAAAAAAACATCGCTTTGGGACAAATTTAAGCCCAATAACAGAAAGAAGGATGTATTCAAAGATGTATCTAGAAGTATTCTTCAAGAATTCAGGTATGGTTTTTTTTAGCAAACAACTAATCGTATATTTTTACTTTTAATGAAAAGCAGTTTTGTTCGACAATTTGTAAAATCAAAGATTTTTTCTCACAAGTTTTAATATTTCTATAGTTAATTTATTTTAATGGTGGATAAATTATAAGAATTAGTATTACAAAAAAAAAAAAATTGCCATTTATTGAGCTTATAAATCTTCAAGAATTATTTTTATTGTAACCAACTATCGTATGTTCAATTTATATTGCAAGAAAGTTTCGTTCGCCTGCTATAGGCAAATTAAAGAAGACTTTCCTTATAGTTATAAAATTTCTATAGATAATTTATTTAAATATTGTTAAACTCATCGACAAATGAGTTGGTGCTAGGTACCAGGTGGAGCTTGTGCGACAGATCATGTCCTCGCTGTAAGGTAACCATGGCAACCAGGCCACAGCTCACCACTGGTACCTGTCACACTGAGATTCAGTGGAGTATATACTCACCTGTAGAGAGTCTATTAGGGAGAAAAACTCTTGTTGCAAATCAACTAGCACTGCAAACGCAGCAAGTAAGCCCCTGAGAATGCCCTGGGTCCCTCCCGCACAATGTTGGGAAGACCGCTGAGCAGCATGCATTGTCTCGATTTTAACTTCGCCTAAATTTCATTTAGCCACATAATAAACTAAAAAAAGGAACGCATATTTGCATTAATAAATCTGTCTCAATTGTTTTTATTAAATTTAACTTAATGTAAACTTTATTTTTCGAAAACGTTTGTCGTTCTTGGTTCACACATAAAACAGATTAAAATTGGTATGGAATCTCAAAATCTAGTAAGCTTATTATTTAAGCTTCTAGGAGAATAGTGAAGCTGGCTTTCATAAAAGAATTATGCAATCTTTTAATGAACAAGATAACAAAATAATTTTTTCAACTGACGCATTTGGCTTTGTCGTTCAGGTTCTCGCAAATTTGAGTAGTTTAGTGAGTTAAGAGGCTGTCTCTGTAAGAACCTCATAACCATTTTGAATGAAAAAATAGATTTCTTCCAGAATATTTCTTCTGTTGTTGTGTCTGCATAACATGGTATTACGACTATATCTTCCTCACTGACAGACTGATTATTTACTTTACATATTTCCTTAATTAGTATTTGACCATCAGTGTCAAAATATTCTAARCAAGAAGCTAAGATTTTCTTCTCAGCAAGGGAGAGTGCAATAGTGACATCTAAGTCACTTTCGCAACCTTTTCTTTCTTTATTTAATAGACTACGAACCACCTCCTCGTCAACTACTTTCAATAGCACTTGGCTTTGTTGAGAATGAATAAAATCTTTTTTTTCACATGGCTTTCTGTTCCTTGTCAACAGTGAATCCTTATCCTTTATTATGAACCTGATGGCCTCTTTACTTTCCATTATTTTGCTAATTTGGGTAGCACCATACACATTGGGCTTTTGGAATGGTACTCCTGCTGGCATGCCCTCCACTGTAAACTTTCCCTGGTTGTACTTTGTGTAAGAAACCACCGCTCCAGGCTTATTAAGACTCTCGGCTGAAGAACAACACATAAAATAGATAATCAATTATAGGTTTTTCATTGTTAAAATAATCAGAAGCAAGAATATCTATATATAAATCAAATACTTTAAATCAAAAAATATTTCCAAATTAACAATAATTATTAGTTGTTACACCATGTTGACATTAATACTAGCCATTAGAAAAGTGTGTAAAGTATTTTCATGTACACACCATTAAATTAGCCTCAATGCAGGCTACATTTAATCGAAACACTCAAAAATAACCCATGGACTAATAACAAGAATGGAGTTAAACAATTATATAGAACTATACATATAAAGTATATTATTTATTATGACAGATTATTTGTTACAGAAAATTTACACTCAACTAAATGACATGTGGAATAACTGAGTTTGTACTTATAAATGCAAGTTGAAGGCACCATTTTTGTGTTTCCAACAAGTGGGGGTTGGGGGTATCTGCCAGGATTTGGGTAGGGGTGTTCTGCTGGGATTCTGAAAGGGGTACCCTGTTTATGACAAAAAGTTTGAAGATCCTGTTTATGACAAAAGATATCATTAATTGTACTGAGTTTCTGTTTCATTTATCATGTAAGCTAGCATATTTTATTTTTGTCAACCATAATATAAACCAGTAATGATGAAAAGGTAAATTATACACCGTGAAAAGATGAAAAAACTTACTGACGTTTCGGACGCTAGTCCTTCGTCCTTCTTTTCACAGTGTATAATTTACCTTTTCATCATTACTGTTTCATTAGAAACACCGACGCAGCTCACACTAGTTTTTAGCTAGTTATATCTTCATAATATAAACCAGTTTTGCTTGGTCAATACAAAAGTAGAAACCCTGAATATGACAGGAAATTCAGGAAGAACTTGGAACTTGAGTGAATTTGCATACCTTGTTAATGATAAGAAGCTCGAAAAACCATACCCTGTTCAGCAGATCATTCCCATATAGTCAATATATGGGAGTACAACCCCCCCCCCCTCCCTGGGGTTCCCACATGTAAAGAGCATCCAATGGAAAAATACAAATTAATGGTTTCAGTAAAGGTAAATTATAAAATGGTAAAACCGATACATTTGCTAATGCATAGAACATCTGATGAATAACACATTCCAAGTAAAGTGTGTATCATCATATAACTTATGTTTTATTCATCACATACTTTGGTGTCCTAGCTCGAACAAAATTAACAAGGCTGATTGGACTAAAAGTAAAAGTGTATTAATTATAAACATGAGTTTTAGAAGTTTAATTAAACAATTACCAAATTTCGTGTTGAAGAGTTCTTTCACATGGTTATTTGAGTACTTTTGTGGGATAGCTGAAATGAAAAAATACATAAACAAAACAGTCACACTAAAATACTTTAATACATATATATATAATATGGTCATATGTCAATAGTAATTTTTCCCAAATAACAAAATTTTCATTTAAAACTTATTATTTATAACTCACATAAAAATGTTCTATAGGCATGTTCTACTTCAGGATGGCTATCTAGAAAGTGATCAGCATCTGAACTCCCAAGGCTCCATATTGTGTCATTTTGGKCGTTTAAAAGACAAACTGCTCTCACTCCAGCCTTTTCCAGAAACTGAAACTGCAATTTTATATATATCATTAATAYATGCACACATTGCATCAATAGCATCTGCAAAACAAGACAAGATGAATTAATTGATAGCTTTAAATATTGTCTGAGTTTATTTAGTTGAATGAAATATTATGAGCTTGAGGCAGATATTGAATAATTATAGTTTGATTCTCTTCCTGGATGAAGAGCCAAGGCCTTTATCAATCCTTTATATGATAGAAAGAAATGGTAACATTCTTATATAATAATAACATATATGAGATCAATTAAAGTTACCTGGGACTGAAGCTGTGTTTTCATCTTTTTTACAACTTCAGGGCTATATGGATTKTGTTGGACCTCTCTAGCTTCCATTTGCCACCTCTTTTTTTCTTCTTCAGTTTGATTAATGTAGAGTGTTTTAATGGCTACATTTCTCTCCTTCATCTCCATGGAGGCATAGGGATCTTTTAAATTAAAATAAATCAGTTTTCACTTCAAGTCTGTACAGA